AACACCAAGGTCAGAATTTTCGAAAAATGTCAAGACAGTTCTACTGTATGTGATGGAAACCTGGAGAACTATGAAAACCATCATCCAGAGGATACGAGTGTTTATTAACAGTTGTTTAAGCAAGGTTGTTCGGATCCGTTGGCCTGACACTATCGACAACAACCTACTGTAGGAGAGAACAAACCAGAATCCAGCGGAGGAGGAAATAAGGAAGAAGCGCTGGAAGTAGATAGGCCATACATTGAGGAAAGTACCCAACTGCGTCACAAGACAAGCCCTCACATTAAATCTTCAAGGCCGAAGGAGGAGAGGAAAACCAAAGAACACATGTCGAGAAATGGAGACAGACATGAGAAGAATGAACATCGATTGGATAGAACTGGAGAGGAAGGCCCAGGACAGAGCGGGTTGGAGAATGCTGGTCGTGGGCCTATGTTCCATTGGCAGTGACAAGCTTAAGTTAGTCTACTACTCAGAAGCTGACTTCCACGGACACGGCGGGATTGATTCGCATACACAATTCCTCACAGCATTCAGAGCACTACCGCGCGATTTCAACTTGTGTGTTTACTAGTAGTGCTTCGGAAACCGGTGAAACCTCATGAAAGGCTATCGTAAGGCGTTGAATTCTAACCGACCGACAAAATTCGTATGTTAAACATCACTATTTTGATGACCAAAGTTCGCTATCTCATCGACACTGGTTAAGGTTTTTCCCGCAAATTCTAACGAGTGACTGCATGAAGCAGTTGTTAACTTCCAGGCAGCAAATTGAAAAACAGTCGCTACATATTGTAAGCGACATGATTATCTTAACTTGGGTTTTAGCAAACCCATCCACTTGATCTTCGTTGTTGCAGATGTTTCATATGTATAGACCTTTTGCAACAATATAATCTACTCATCGACATGCATGAAGGGAGGTTAATAGACAGAAATACCAAGTTAACTGTTAGTGTAACTTCTTTTTCCGACTGTAGATTATCCTCATTCTCAGTAATATAGATGATCGATTGATTGTCATCATATAATTTATAAGTATTCCAATTATACCAAACGCGATCCCAATTGCCATTTGTGTTATATACCACATCGTAACCACAGGACCACCGATATTTTCGCAAGTGCGCCGACTAGTTTCAGAAAAGCTGAGGTTCGTCCACATGGTAGACTTGGGTGTCATTCGAACATAAAGCGGCTTATGAACATTTCCATTGAACACGACCCATAGAAAGGACAGCAAGAATTAGCGTCCAACTGTTGGCTATCGGCGGCTGAATGCGAAAACCGTTCCTGATCGACATCCGTTGCCTCACATTTACCTTGAAAGGTAAAGCTGTTTTTTTTCAAAAATCGTTTTGATTAAGGCGCATAACCAAATTCTCATGACTGCTGACGACATAATCATCACCCATTTCGGTCTCTATGAATTTTCGCGCATGCTTTTCGCTGCACAAACTTTCCAGAGATTTTCGAGGTCTCAACTTCGTACGTGCGTATGTTGACGACTGCTTGATTCAGTTCTGAGCACAGAATCGTGTTTTAGAACGACTACAAGAACTGTAAATATTGAGAAATGTCAAATTACAACCCTACCCCCCCTTTAACCGACCGAAATCATGGAAATGGAAAATCTTCAATAAAGCATTCTCCACAGTTAAGAAACTGGTCCCACAATGGTTCACCGAAGCACCCATTAGTATCGCAGCAGACGTATTGGACTCGGCAATCGGAGGAATCTTGCATCCATGGGTTAACTAGACCTGACAACCTTCGGCATTCATCTTTAGGCGCTTGCAATACTGAATCCAGGTATGCTATTTTCGGTAGAAAATTCCTGGCCATAAATTGTGCTGTGCAGCACTTTCAGCACTCTGTGGAGGGCCGAAAATTCAATCTGTTCATCGACCACAATTCTTTCACCTATTTAAGTATGTATTTAGATACGTTCTCTCCTCGAGTCTCGACGGCTGGACTACATTTCGCATTTTGCTTTAGATATATAGCACACTTGTCTCGTATAACGGTTTCGAGGGTACCGACCTTCTCACACTGACACAGCTTTAAATCGAATACACTGGTGATCAGCACGAGGATTAAAACCGGTTAAAAAGTTTTCTGTGTGACATATCTTCAAGTAGGGACAGTTCATTAGTGACAAATCATTATAGTTGCAACGTCTTCAATACGTTGCACGAGCTTTCCCGTCAGGGTGTTCGTGCAACCACTAAGTTAATAGCAGAGCAATTTTGCTAGTCTGGTATAAGGAAGTGCTTGAGTGGGCACGCTCCTGAGCAAGCTACCAGAAATCTAAGGTGACCAGTCATATCAAATGTCTGTTATGCCGTTTCAAAACTCCCGATGATCGCTTCGACCATGTTCATCTGAATCTGGTGGCCAACGCCTTCGTCGAACAATGGATAGTAAACTTTGGCTGCCCTTCAACTGTTACTACAGACCGTAGACTCCAGTTCCTAATTGGGCTTTTCTGTTGTCCGACTACACTAATAGGAATCACTATATTAGAAACAACCACTTACCCACAACAAGCAAACGCGTTGGTATAATGCTCTCACTAACAGTTAAAAACTTCACTCTCAGCTGAAAATATTTCACAGTGGACCGACGGTCTTCCACTCGTCTTACTAGGCATTCGCAATGCAGTAAAAGCTGACACTGGATACACTGCGGCTGAACTCGTTTATCGAACGACAATGTGACTCCTGGAAGAATTCTTGGATCATTCATCTTCTTCAATGAATATGGATCTAATTTCATAGAAGAGCAAGCTTACAAACATCCTGCGTCTAGATAAACCTGTTTTGACTCGACCGCAATCAACTTATATTTTCTTTCAGTTTACCTCACTATACAGTAAACACTTTTTACATTGCGACTCACTTCGACGGCTTCTCGAAGCGACATATGAAGGACCATTTAAAGTTCTTTGGCGTGGTCCCAAGCATTAAATCGTCGATAAGAACTGAACTAACAATAGCATCAACATTGATTGTCATACAGTCGGGTATTTACAAGTAGACCTTAATAACGTTGATTTTCCTTCAGTACAATCGAACGACACGAGTCACACAATTAAAATACCTCACACAATAATCAACAATCACGGTCACACTTCAGTGGTATCTGCAAACCGACTTAAAAGCAATGCATTATGGGAGAAGAGTAAGGTATCCAGAACATTTAAAACACTACGGCACGCAAGATACCACATAGCATCTAGTTTCGTTTCGATTTTTTTAAGTTTTAGAATTATCATACATACATTTATTTCTTTACTTCAAAAAAAGTTAAAAACCGAATGCTTTTGTTGTCAATGTGCTTTTGTTTGACTGTGCTAATTATAGCCATTTTGTGCTTCCATTACATTCCATCATTGTTCCGCGGTTTTTGGTACTGTTCGCACGTACTCCTGTCTTCTGCTTTCGCTTGTACCTCTTCTTGGCACGATCTCGGTATTCGTTCAATACCACGAGATCGCCAACGAAATAAATCTGGTTACATTCAACCCTCGCCTTCTGATTTATCTGGCACGTGTTTCCTGGTAGCGGTGTTCACAGTTAATCTCAACTCGACGCCACGCTACAGTTCAATCGATTAAACCAATTAGTTAAAATAAAGAAACCTCACCGTAAACTGACTTACTCGTTTAATCTTTTCATCAAGTGGATTGTGATTTGATTTTATAAGGGAACATTAAGAAAGACAGACTTCTGCAATTCTAACGTTACAAGTTTCTTAAACATGGAACAATTAATGTTGAATGCTGATTGAATGGAAAATATTTCCAAAGTTTTCAAATATATGTAATAAGAGGAGAGATGACTGTTTACCTCAGATTAAAATTTATTGATATTATGCTTCATAGAGTACATTGCAAAGTGTAGTTATCTTCATTATTCCTTACATAGATTATTGAAGTTCAATAGTCGTAAATTGAAATGAACAAACTAGTTCATAACAAGTATACATGTTCACGTCGATGCTGCTTGGTACTTAAACAAGATTATGAATACAGTGTATCTATGTATGCTTCCATTCTTTTACTTACACTTTGATTGTAACTTCGCGCGAATTCGGTTACGTTCTGTAACCAAGCTTGAATCCTGGCACGATCTCGGTATCCTTTCGATGCCACGAGATCGCCAGCAAATAAACATCGACTTGGTCCATTAATTGCCTTCTGATATTCGGCTTCTCGGGGATTTTATGGAGTCATTTGGAACGAGCTTCTTACGCCTTCTGATTCGCTTGGCACGTGTTTCATTGTAGCGGTGTTCATAGTTAACCTCAACTCGACGCCACGCTACAGATTCATGCCAAAGCAACAACAATCAAACGCAAAGATACCCCTTGGTTTTTTATAAGATTGGATTTAAAACCCTCTGGGCCTTTAAACGGACATTCAATAAGTTAGATACCACCATGTTCAATTCATAATACACAACCTTAATGAAAACTAAGCTCGAGAGCTGCGTGTAGGCTGCAAGCACCTGTTTAAAAGCTGATTAAGATATCTTGGAAAAAGTACAGATGGTAGCTAATCGCGCAATCCTGTAAGTTTGAGGTTTACTATGCAAAGAGCGGCTTGAGAAGCTAGACCCCTTTAAACTTTCTTATCGCAGACTAAGAGGTGATTTAATTTTGATGTATAGAATACTGAGAAATTATTTTAAACCTAACACATTCTCTCTTTTTCTTCTTACTAGATTATGACGTTTTAGAGGACAAAGTAGGAGAGTATAAAAGTCAAGAACAAACAAAGTACCCGTGGCATACATGTCTTCAAACCGAGTCATCAGTTCTCGGAACCTGTTACTCGAAGCAGTGGTGTTCGCACCTTCAGTTCACACATTCAAGCGAAGACTAGACACTCATAGAAGCATGTTAGGAAAGAAATAAAATAGGCCATATGCTTTCTGTTCTTACTACACAAATCTGAAATCTGACTCTGAATTATTGGACATTGCAAAAACTCTCGGTTGACCTTGGCGTTCTATCAGCGCTCTGTTGGAGTGACAAGAAACACGAGTCGAGAGTTAGTTTGTTCCATTTTTAAATAAATACTACTATCTTAAAAAATCAAGACCTCTCAATCTATAAGGCTAATTCAGACATTTAATTTAAGTTAGTTTTTGTCAAATAGCTGATTCGTATCTAAGAGAAGTCTATGGGCTTTAGTTTCCATTTTTTTATGACTAGTGTAAAGATTGAAATTAATAAAGTATTTTGGGTGAATTTATCCAGTTTCTACAAGCATTGATTTTCACATTTTATCTGATTCCAGTTTTGATGGAAAACAAAGTAGTTTATTTTCAAACGCTTGGTATCCATGTTAAAGCTGCTTATCAGATAATATTGTAGCATTTTCCGAAGGAACAAATCGTTTTTGTAAATAAACATCACTCGTTTGCTTAAAATTAGTTCAAAGTCATCCGTATTTGTTCACTCCATTGGCTTAAGTTCAAACCGTCTTTTTTTGCAAGAGTAAAAGTACTTGGCGAGACTCTAATTTAAGGACGACCTTTGAACGAATCTTAAGTGACCTTAACAATTATTAGTCAATCAAAAGAAAGTTAGTATAAAGTGAAAATATATTATATGAAAGTAATGAATTACAGTGGATATTCTTCTTTTACATGATTTAAAAACTTGTTAAGCTTTGATTAAGGTTCAGAGGTTCTGAATTCACAATCCATATGGAATAGAAACTCGTCTATTGGATTAGAGTTAGGTTTACGGGTAAGGTTAGGGTTGGGGTTAGTTGAGGGTTAAGGTTTAGGGTTAGGTGAGGGTTTAGGGTTAAGGTTAGAGTTTAGGGTTAGTTGAGGGTTAAGGTTTAGGGTTAGGGTTTAGGATTAGGGGTTGAGGGTTAAGGTTAGGGTTAGTTGAGGGTTAAGGTTAAGGTTTAGGGTTAGGTGGGGGTTTAGGATTAGGGTTAGGTTAGGGTTTAGGGTTAGAGTTATTTGAGGGTTGAGGTTAGAGTTAGGATGCTAACATACAACTTTTTAAATCATGTCAAATAAGAATATCCACTGTAATTTATTACTTTCTTTTAATTTATTTTTACTTTATGCTGTCTTCTGATTGACTAATAATTGAAATTGCTCAAACGCTTCTGGTTGGCTCGTCCTTAAATTAGAGCCTCGCCGTCCTATCTGTTGTAACCTCTCATTAATCACCTACTCTCTAAAATTCGCTGTGAACCGATCGTATGTTAGCAGCGCGTGTTGAACTTGGCTCCGTGACCTTGAAATCGCTCAGACGCCTCTGATTGGCTAGTCCCTAAATTAGAGTCTCGAAACTATATTTTATGGACAAACCAATCAGCTATAAAAGTATAGGTCTCGGATTTGGGTGCGAAACTCACTCGTCCATCTGTCTAAATAGCGTCTTGTCATTTTAGCTGATGTCAGTTCGTGATGAAAAACCGAAAGTCTAATATCTAAGCATCAACTGTGAATCATAATCCTTATTCTTCAAACTGCTTTATAACCCTCATTTATCTCTAGTTAGTAGGTAGACACTCAAAAAGTCACTTTGTCGCCCAAATGTCGTCCATAAATTATAGTGTCACTGAAAGTACTTACGATTGTTAGCATAACCTTATGCCGTTTTGCTTCATCTGAGGTGCTAAACGAACGTGACACGGCTATTTCACTCGGTGGATTCACTTTTCGTGCAATATTTTGTTTTTCGTATACTTAGTCGCCCTTTATTTACCGACTTCAGTATATTTCCGTTGCTTCCAGAAAGCATAATTATCTGATAAACTACCTCTTTTTTACAGTTTTGACTAGAAGAAGGTTTATCCGGTCTCGTGAAACTTGATGTCTTAGTAGCCGTATTGCCATAATTAAACCTCGTAACTCATTACTGTAACACGTCGACCTTTGTCTAGCTGTTAAGTCCGCTGACACAATTTCGGCAGAGCGATTGTACCTTAAAAGTTTCGTTCCTCCAAGCATCTGAAACAACCACACAGGATCACTATTAACACAGGAGAGATTCGTTGTACTCGAGATCTACTCAACAGATATATAAGCTACCCAACGGTGACTTAATTTTGATTTATATACTATCTCTTGATATCCGCTCGTGGGGTATTTTTTAGGAAGGGTAAGTCAATTATATATAAATTTTCTGCAGCCTAGTATTAATAACACGATTATTAAGTCATAGAATTTTGAACTACGTCAAGATGAAATGCTTGAGTCAGTTTAAATTTACTTGAGGAAGTGTTTAAAATGCTTGTATATCATTTTAGCAATGTAAACTAATTTGTTCCATCAGTTAGTGTTAACGCACCATAACTTTCCAGTCGTTTTACATGATTAAAAGCATAGTCGTGAGGAATCTTGGATTTTAACTAATGTTGTTTTCCAAGGTTTTGAGTGTCAAAGTTATTATAAAATTCCCTTTTTTGTTTCTATTGATTGCCAAATATGTATCAATATCAATGTAGTTGTGCATATTTTTTGTGGTTTTATTAAGCTTTCGGATCAGTAGCCGATACATCTTAAAAATGAGTGTCTTGCACCAACCAATGAAATGATGCATAAGTCAAAGTCTAATCAGGTGCTGCAAGTTGAGCATATTAAAGAGCTCCACGATCATTGGACTAATTGCAAGTCATTAATTGATGAAAATGATAATGGCGTTCTATCTGCTTCCAAAATTGACACCGTTTTTCACCATGTCAGTAAAATTATACTACTAGTTGTTGATGAGCACTCTTCCGACAGTAAGTCTTATCTGCCCTAATTTGATCGTTAACTATATTAAGGGTTTATATCGAAATTTCAGCACAACAAACCATCAAATTTGACCCATACATTTAGTACCTTTTTGAATAACATATTCGCTTGTAATCTAACGCTATTGCATGACTTTATGAATAAGTCCAAAGTGATTTCACTTGGATAATTTGCATTCCCGATTTATAACTTTCACTAATTATCCGCATACTTCTGTTTTTATTATGATACTTATCTAGTGTTGTTAGCGTTTTGAGGTTTGGTCCCTCCAAAATTGAAAATAAATCTTACTAATAATTACCAAGATCTAACAATATAAATCGTTATTTGTATTGTTTACTATTATAAACAATTTTTTTTACGTAATAGAATTGTGATATCAGTCTACCGTGATATTACACTCTTGAGAAGATTTAAGAAATGATTTATCTTGCTTACTGGCTCAAGAGTCACAGAACTATACTGCGTAGTTAATGAGTGCTAAGTGATATTCTTATTTTCTTTATATGACCAAGTATAAGCTGTTAAAGTCCAGAATCCTTAGAGACCTGCTAACTGTCAAGATAAATGACGGTTTAAAAGGTATACAATAGTCCCTTGATATCATATAGTTTGATTTTATAGTTTGGTGTAACGAATTTTCAATTTTTAAAGTGAAAGGAGAGAATAATTGACAGACAAAATACATTTATAGGAAATAACCGAGTGATAACTGATTACGGGACCAGATTATTGGTAAGTCCCCGAATGATTTGAGATTGTGAACAATATCATTAGCTATAATAGGCATTTATTCTAATGAAAGAACTTTTTGTACAAAATATTAACAGAACAGCATGATTAAATATTAATAACGATTGTGCTAAGTAAATTTTGTATATCTTTGATTCTCCAATTAATTCAGTTCCAACTTTTACAACTAATTATAATCCTAGCTAACCAGTTATCATTGCATTTATGGTTAATGCTACCGTGTGATGAACTCAAATAGTACTTATCTTCATAAGAATACTTCATGTTTTCTTTGTCATTGTTAATGGAACAGCTTACTAGGTTATTCCGGATGATAAGTAGGTTAAGGGGACGTCATTGCCTCCTGGTTAACTGTTAAATCCAGCTTATGCATACAGTTTGATTAAAATTGTGGTTTAATCTACATAATTTGAATAAAGATTTCTGATTGCTCGCTGAATAGTTTAAACCTCAAGCGTATGAAAGGTTATTTTGAAATCACTGTGTAGTCTGACTGCTTCATCCGTTGGTTTTAGTGAATGGCCTGATAAGCTCTGCTTGAAAGCAAACGTCACCACTAATATTCTGTTAATTTGCACTTCTTGTCGATTCTATATTTTGTCTACAAATTTAAATGTCGAGTTAGCTTCCGATCTACGGACTTGGTGCTTTCGTATTCTTACTTCGAGATGGAAATCTGAGAAAAGTATTAATGTATGAACACTACCGTCTTCAGAGTGGTATTCGAACTGAATAACTAGGTATCAGTAGGGTCATACCTAACCAAGTTGGATTATATAGCACAAAAGACGTGTGCTTGATCTTAATTTGAGTTAAAATAGATTTTAATGCTTTGGGAAAGCTTTTATTCTATGACTCTAGGCATCTAATCGACATTACCTTTTATATTACCAGTCGAACCGGTTGCCTATTTCATGAATTTGCATATTGACTAGTGAACAACAGTCAAGACCTTAACGCTTATTGGTCCTCGAGCCTCTCCTAAACTAGTAGCCAGTTAGAAAATGCGGATAAATAGCAGATCAATTCTCTATTGTACTCAATTCGATTGTTACTCAAAATATGCAGTAATACAATTGAAATGCCTGATCACACAGTACATCAAATGAGAAATCACACTTTAAGCACAATAATATCATGAATATTAGAAGGCAGAAGAAACAGTGCATAATTAACTAGCAATAGTTAAAGAAAAGTTAAACGTACAACAACAGCCAATAGATTCACTGAAAGCTTACAATAAGAGAAACTTAGAAATACAATAATAAGGTTATCTTCTAATTATATAGTAAAGACATAATAATAATCCGAAAATTAGCGCCGAAAACCTCAGCTCCCCCAATATTCGTCCCACCATAACAAGCCTTTTTAAACTTGTTCAATCTGTTTAAATTGCTTATATTTTTATAGTATGGCTCCGTATCATCTGAGTCATAGTTAATGGGTATATAAATCCAGTTTATTTAAGAGCCACCATATACTAGGAAGGAAGTAAGGTAATCTGAATCTTAACTAGATCTCGGTAAAATATTTTCTGTTTATTACTGACTAGATTCATGGGTAATCAAGCTACTCAAGTTTAATATCGTAGTTTGGTGTCTGATGTTAGTGGTAAAACAGAACAATCCAACCAACTTCGAGTCCTCATATTTGGTGATAAACTACATTTGTTTTATGAGGGCTAGTAAACATGTATTAAAACTTAAGTGTGTTGGGCGTAGTTTTAATCTATGACCTGCACACCTAAACATCTGGGTCTCTGGTTCATATTAAGGTCAGTTGGTTGATGTCATGAACACTAATCTAAAGGTCAAAGTATGTATCGTTTTTTAAAACCCATTTTACTTTTGTAGCTTTAATTTATCAATGGATTTTATTATTGGAACCTATTTTATGTATTTTTTAAGCTCTAGAAAGAAACAAGCTAGTAGAAGGTTCATATCTTGAAACAATAATAAGAAATAATATTTTTGAATTACTCCTCATTTGGATCGAAGGAAATCCAACACCAAAAGATGAAAAATCTATCAGTACTCGCGATGTGTTAAGAAGACATTTAATCACTGCTTTTGAACAGTTAATAACACAATCGAAACAGAATGTTTTGCTTTATAGACCGATTCTTCAACCTTTGTGCCAATTTTTATTCAAATTATCCTCACAGTTACGGCCTAGTTATGATCAAATCTATGGGCATTTGTTACATGAAGTTTGCATCTTGTTATGTAGAAACTTTCAGTTGTTGGAGTTTAGTAAAGAAGTAAGTTCTTGATAATTTTTAATTTACTTCTTTGTGTGTGTATGTTAGAGATCAAATTGCTAACTTGTAAAGAGACTAGCTTTATGTGGTTAAAGTTCATCAGTTAAAACTCATTCGCTTTAATATGATGAGCATGTAGTAGCTGGGGGATTAGTTACAGATGCCAAGTCACCACCTAAATGAGTCTGTGATGCTTGTTGAAGTATTACTAAATTGGCATAGCACTGAAGATGAACAGATGAATCAGATCATTGAAACTAAAGTCTGTCTATTTAAGTATTGTAGTTAGATGTCATAGTTTCCCAATATGGCAAATCAGTGGTACTAGACCATGAGTGACATTGTTTAGAACGGATTCTCCTTCAGTCCTAATGATTTTAAGATTCGTTTGTTTTTCCCTTCTCTCCTGACCCCTGTTCTGAAATCCTTTTATTTCTGTATTCTTTAAATAGTTATACTTCATTCCGGAGTGTGATAAATCGAACTGTGTTACTTGTGGGAGACATTCTAAATTATTATACCTAATATTATCAGTCCTTCACTTTTCAAGTAATCTAGGAAGTATCTTTAACGATCACATTATTAGGAATAGCTATCACTCGTATACGAATCTGTAAGTAGCTAATGAGTTCCTAGTAACCTACGTTTTTTAAAATTTTAACATATATAATTATGAAAAAAAATAATTGTAGTAGTCATTATAGACTTACTGATGCAGGAAAACCTTATTTAGCTGTTTTTTTAGCCCTATTCATTTTCAGATAGTTTTGATCACGGACTTTGATGAGCTAGAGAACAACTGTAGGTCAAAAGCATTAGACGACTGCTTCATCTTTGTGCTTAGTTTCTCAACCCCTTGCATCTACTTTCTTTACACGGAATCGAGCCTAGAACTATGACGTACAACCTGTCTAATGTTTCTTGGTTTCCAACAGAATTTCATCTCGATTCTATATTACGGTAAAAGTTACTGTTCATCTAGTTATGCTGATTGTTCTAGGGTAGATAGAACTATCAATGGGTATTCTGTAAATTCCACACGTCTTCCATTCTTTATTAACATTCTATCTTTCTAATTTATTATCAAAAATATTCAACTCTAGACTTTAACTTGAGACTATTAACTTAAGCGTTTGGATAAAAAAATCTGAGATCGGTTTAAATCCAGGTCTCATATTTCTGTCATCAATATTGGACAAAATCTAAATTTTAACAAAGACAGATCGACCATCCGTCGTAATACACTTCCACACTTTTAACATGAATAGTAAATCAACCAAACTATTATGACCAATGGATAAATTGGATGAAATAGTATTCATCTTAGTTTTCATGAATAATCTTTCAGTGTTTCATACGGTATACACAAGTACACCGTCTTTTTAAAATAAGTTAATCGAAAATACTATATCAGTCAACAACAATTCTTCAACATCTCACACAGTAGGTATGTTGGATGTATTTGAGGAATATTTGTCAGGAAGAATAATTGCCGATGGACTGGAAAGAAGGACACCCCATCAAGAAACCAAAGTAAGGAAATCTGAGCAAGTGTGGGAACTACAGAGGCATCACACTACTGTCAGTACCAGGAAAGGTTTTCAACAGATTGTTGCTGAACCGGATGAAAGACTCAGTAGACGCCCAACTTCGAGATCAACAGGACGGATTCCGTAAGGATCTGTCGGGCACAGACAAAATCGTGACACTACGTATCATTATTGTGCAATCAATTAAATGTGATTCGTCACTATACATCAACTTCCTCGACTATGAGAAGGCGTTTGACAGTGTGGGTAGGAGGACATTATAGAAACTTCTTCGATACTATGGAGTACCTGAGAAGATCGTCAGTATTATCCGGACTTCATAAGGCGGACTGTAATGCAAAGTCGTGCATGGAGGACAGCTGACAGATGCATTCAAAATAAGGACTGCAGTCAGACCAGGCTGAGTACTCTTCCCCTTCCTCCTTCTTCTAGTGATTGGCTGTAATATGAAGACCTTGACATCAGACGGGAAGCATCATTAGGTCTCAACATACACGAAGGAAAAAGCAAGATCATCAAATACAACAGAGAAAACCAGCGTAATCACACTTGATGGAGAAGCTCTGAAAGATGTGGAATCTTTCACGTACCTGGGCAGAATAATCGATAAAGAAGCAGAATCTGATGCAGATGCAAAGGCACGGATTGACAAAGTAAGAGCAGCACTTCTACAATTGAGGAACATATGTAACTCAAACGGACTGCCAGCCAACATCAAAGTTGAAATTTTCAATGCAAACGTTAAGACAGTCCTACTGTAAGGTGTTGAAACCTGGGGGACTACCATAATCATCGTCAGAAAAGTACAGGTATTTACAAACAGCTGTCTTTTGAGCTTCTAAATTCCTGACAACTTTCTTTGTGTTTTTACCCCACTAATTTATATTTTCTAGAATCGTATCTTCGTTGCCTATTTTTTCATTTACCACTTATTTATTTATTTTTTAAACACATAAATATTGGTACCAAGGGGTACCGAATACATGTGCACCACAGAAGTTACTTGGTTTGTGTGTGGGCTGTGATACTGCCCGGGTGCCCAAATCAAAGCAGGTGGTTTTCTGAAGGGGCCATACTCAGAGCCTTCGACCTAATGGTCTGATCCACAAGGCAATAGAGATGCAGTCACATGATAGCCGGTGACCAACGATTGGCTCATACAACATTTGTTCCCTCGGGATTCTGGAGCCTATGTGGACCGTTGATTTGGAATTAGGGTTTTCCAACTCTCCTAGGTGGATCCTTCAAATCGACCAGCCCAATTAAAGCGCCTGACATTCGCTGTTTGTCCTCTCAATTTCGTAAACAACAGTAATGCCGCGATAAGGCAGTGAGTAGGACTTCCTCACGTCAGGTGTCGTCCGGTGAAGCAATGTACCGTGTTATTCACCACTCATACTTTTACTTCCTTTACTATTCTGGGATTTGACCTGACAATTTCGTCTATCTGTTTTAGTGAGATATGGACGCTTGAACCGATGTACTAAGGTTCTACGTTGCGACTGACTGACTGATTTGTGATTTTAAATCATTGATCATAATCATGAATTCGGATATCTTTATTGTTTATTTTAGTTATGCAAAGAAATTTTCAACCAACCGTATATGATATTTTCATTGCTTGTTCCATTAGTACATCGAAATGACCCGTTGGGGGATTCGGCCAGAGATTCACTCCTAATCATATTTGGACTTTCTAATAAAGATGATTGTCTTGGTCAATATTTAGCATATGAATCTGATATATGTCCGGTAAGCTGGTTGTGGTTATATAAGGCATTATCTCTGAACTCAGGTCTGTGTACTACTTGTTCATTAGTTGCATTTTTGTTTTTAGGAGGATCTATGATGTGATGTCTCCTAGGGATTTAACGTTTCGTCTGTAATTCTTTCCTATATGTGCGATTTATTAACTCCAGATTTGTGTACGTATCTTTGAGCTGCTTTGGATGAGGCGTAATGCACTTTTCGGTTCCTCAAATCGAATTACGTGGGTCGGGGTTTAAAAAGATATATTTCAGCACATCATACAAACGGTTACGTTTCATTAGATCATATTTACTAGTTCATGAATGTACGAACACATTGAAGTTAGTGAGTGATCGTTCAAAGTATGCAATAGTGACTGAAGAAACATACGCCCATACCACTTCAAATTCACTGGGATTATGGAAATTCAATGAAGTTGGGTGACAGACAATAATCCTTTTATAACTTGTTACATAATAAAAATGGGTCGTGCAATTTCATTCAAAGCACAAATTTCCACATAGGAAAGAATTCAGGACTATATATGGAGTTTCACCAACCCTTTGTTAAAGTTATTCATTCTTAGCTCGAAGAACCTCCTTTGAGTCATTTTTAAAAAATTTCATTCTGTTGGTAAAAGTGCGACATCTAAACATAGAATTCTTTTCTTATCATCAATACATATCAACGCAATAAGTAAGACTATATGCCTACTACTGGCTATTTCATGACGAATATCCTGAAGTTATGATGGAGACTAAATATTATAATTTAACCTTGTGTAGTGTTAACTTTACAACTAGCTAACAAATATCATGTTTGTTTAGTACTGATCGAATTATATCGGTCAACAAGTTACAATATGTCCACCAGTCTAAGTGACTTGACACATCGCCTGCACTATGTCAAGATGTTAGATGGTTGGAGGTATTCGACAGGAGGCCCTGTATTGGCACAGGTTTCGTACCTGTTAGTAATCGTCGGCAAGGTGTACACGAAGTCTTAAGGGACCTAATACTCTCTGTGGGCTTTGGACCCACATCAAGCAGTTGCAACTTGATCTCTGGTATTCGATCTGTGTCAAAAGACTAGTCAAACATGACATTGGTCACTACGTAGTAATCATCCAGTTTTAAACATCTCAGTTCTACATGAGGTAAGTCTTGGCCTGAGTAGCTCAGTGGCAAGTTTCACTCTGGGAAAGTGAGTGGATCTAGTTCTAGTTCCACGCGGAACACCATTTCCCTGAAGTCTGAAGGCACACCTTGCTGACCTAGCACCAGGGTTACTGCAAATCATTTGTCAAGTATAAGCTTATGTATTAATCTTTAAGTCATTTATGCGCGAACCTCAAATGAAACTAACTAGCTGTTAAAACCTAAATGAGTGCATTATGTGTTTGACCTGCTAACTCAGTAGTTAAAAAATCAAGCTCTTTAACCAGTTAGCTTTTGCCTTGTTATGTAGAAGTAACTAAATTATTAATGTATGTATTTGCAAATAGGGTTGTTTTTGCTAGAGTCAGGTTAGTTTTCCAATAAAATGGTGCATACAATGTCACTTCTGTCTTATCGTAGTCCGTCTGTTATAATATTGATCATATTTTTCTTCATGTATACGTTCAGCCGATATTTGAGTGTGTCTTCTGTTAATCTTGTCATAGCACAATTAATTGGGTCGGAATTATGTATTGGCTGTTTTTTGTTTTGTTTTGTACTTCAGATTTTAGCTACTGGTTTAAGTGGTCTGTATTCTAGTCTACCAAAAAAGTTAGTTCCACGTTATGGGCTATGTCAAAATCATAACGGTAATATTTCATTAAATTCTCCCGGAGGTCCAGTTTCTGTAACTACGCCAATCTATATTCAATCAGATTTACTCAACCCATGTCTGTTGGAATTACAAGTCGGTGGAGCTGAATGGCATCAGATAACCGAGAATGAATGTTCCAATTCAGTCGATCTGCGCCGATTTTTACATACATTACATTTTTGTAATCTGACTATTAAAGTAAGAAAGATGTATGCGTTTTCTAGTTTATTTTTTACTAACATTTTTGAAACCTTTAGCAATGTTTATGCCTACTGCATTGATGGCTTAGATTTCATTACGCAAGCGTTTCTCTTCCATGCTAGACATGATCCTGATAGAATAATTTTATAGAGAAAAATTAACTATCTCATTGACACTTATACCGTCGTCATTGTTAGTAACTAGTAGTCTTTTTTATCTGATTGAGAATGACCTAAAAGCCCAAATGTTTAAACTTAGATTAACTACTTTAGTGCTGTTACTGTTATCACTTAGTTGAAAACAATCGACAAAAAGAGACATTTCAAGTGTACTAAACAGTTAAAGAGTGAACAGACGTAATAAACAGAACTCAAACAAATGACTTTAATTTGTTCACTACTAGAAATGCAATTATGTGTTACATACATTTCGGCCCTACGTATTTGTGATTAAACGATAGCTCCTGTAGAGCTAGTTGAATAGACCGTACTCAAAGAGCCTTATCATTGCGTGCTCGTGAACTTGTTTTAGTATGGTTGGAAAAATGATTTACGAAATCTGTTAACAGCACCATCCTTCCTCACTTGATAGACAGCGAACAATACATTAAAAGATTATTTCTTATCGTTTTTATATTGACCCCCAAATAATTCACATAAATTAGCAAGATTACGGCTCTTCTATATAATGAAAGTTATCAGGATTAACTCAAAAGAATCAAACTTATGTATACATCAGAGGAATATTTAATCTTTCTTTTTGTTATGGTCCATCATTGCCTCATCAATTTTCGTTCTGTCCCATTCTTGATTTGTTCATTGATGTTTCTCAGTTCATATAAATTACTCTGACAACATTTCTCTTATTGCATGTTTTATTCACATGACGGGATTATTATTATTATTATTATTATTATTATTATTATTATTATTATTATTATCTCAATAAATCAGACATTTCTCTTACTGTGCATTTCCTCCACATAATTTATATCGATTGTAGCTCGACAGTGTACAACAAACTTACCTACTCCTTTTCTTAAATGACCTTTCAAATTTACAAATGACATTTTTAACGTATATGTGATGTAATCTATGCTAAAGTTCACATATTGCATAGTTCACTTACAACTTGTCTATATATACCTCATTTTTGACATTTGTATTACAATAATTATGGATTTATTACTGTAAAGTCTGATGATAATTTTATTAAGAGCGATCGTTTGTTCGAACATTCTTTGTCTTGGAATACTACTCTATAAGAATAATCTTTCAACTAAAGTGACAGCTTCAAGTATAGATGTCATATTTTTTTCATTTGTTTAAAAAAATATTTAATCATCCCATGGTCACTATTGACTTCAGTCTCTGTGAAATATAACTCATGTATATTTTACAAATTGGTCTCTCTCATCTTTTGATATGTGTTCTTTTGGAATTATGTTTTTTTAGATTGGAAGAAGTATGAAAGTGAGAATTATACATAGAGAAGGCGGAATATGTTTGAAGTTTTGTTATTTTCTAGAATAGCGACTGTGATAATGTTTAATGCCTTCGTACTAGTCATAGTGTTGTAAAATAAAATTGCTCCTTTTATGGTAATGTTTGGTTAGCTGATTAGCAGGCGATATATACCAATCCAGGTCCCAAATAGGACAAAACACACGTCCTGAATTCCACTGCTAGCCATCATTCATCTTTTTTTATAATGCTTGTGACTTAAGGCAATATCGAAGCAATCCGTACAGGATGCCAATAAGGAACTGATCAATTGAAATCCTAAACATCAATGGAAAGATTCAAACAAATAATACAAAATGAATATACTAATTAATGCTTACAACTTGCTAATTTAAATTTTTGGAAATTTCAATATTGGTTAGCAGTTTGTTATGCACAGTTGTGAACAGGAAAACAAGAAGCCCTGACAAACTACGAAAGCTATTTTTCGGGACGTTATTCCATTTTATTCAAAGCTTGTAAAACACTGACATTTATTTTTGTCCCTAATCTATTCTACAGAACATAAGCTTTCGTCCGATGTTTGATTCATTGCCATACCCTTTTCTGTTCCGAAGCTATTGTAATTTAAACATAATATTTTGCACCCTATTTTCTACGCTAATTCCCAGCATTGGACATAATTGTGTTTTTCCTAATTATTGTACTTTATGGTCGGGTTATTCACTTATTTATTCATGTACCTTTTGACACTAACCCGAACTGAACTGAAATCAGGATATCGGGAATAGATCGAGTAGTGTTCTAGCTGTCTTGTCTTCTCTCATTCGCGTGCTTGTCGGCCAATCAGGTGATGGAATAGTTTCCTCTGTACCCCACTTCGAACTCACGCGTACTAGCCTCAATGTTAGACCGGTCAGCCTATCGCGCCAAGGTCATAATCTGGATTAGATAAGTAACCTCAACACCAAGAGTGGGTAGACAGACCAAAGGACATAACATGCAACTTGTTCAATTGTTTTCTTAGATTATAGGATTTAATAATATTGCGATACCTTAGTCAAAATGGTCAAATAATCTTTGCTAGGAATTACGAATACTTCAAGTTAATATCTTTTTATCTTTTGTAGTAAATGGTGTTAGTAGAACTGTTATTTGGCTCATACCTACAAAGTTATTATATTTACCAGTCAAGCTTATTTTTATATACCTTTTTTTCGGTTTTTTTTAATTTAGATTGCACATCCTCATGTTCGTGATCAATTACTATATTTTATTCATTCTGGATTCTTGGTTCCTGTTTTAGGATCTGCATTACATCAGGTATGTTTATTGTTGCTCATTCATTGTACAACGTACTGCGATTGTCGTAGCAGTTCGAATCACTAAGTAACATTGTTAATATTTTTATAATAAATGTTGTTTAGGATTTCTTACATCAAATCTTATATGGTTACTCTGCGTTGCATTTCGGTTGTACAACTGTTCAATTGTAATTAGAAGTTAATTAAACTAACATCTACAATTAATAGGATGTTATTTAATCTTGAACTATAAATTCCAAATTATGGCTTTTTAAGTTACTGGTTTGTAGTGTTGATGAAAAAAGCTGAGATTCTTCACAATATATTCGATAATGACTGATATGTCTGATACTTGAATCTTTGACATTGACTTCCTTATCGCATCATGTCCCTTCGGTAATCTATATAAGACAACAAGTGAGATTATAGTTTTAACATTAGTTTTTGTACAGAAAACAATGAGATTTCTAGGGTTATATGTAACTTTTCCTAAGTTTCTGGAAATATGTTAAAATAATAACAAAATTGGTAATTATTCAATCAGGATGTTGAGAGATATAATTCATTGTCTTTTTAGAACTGAGAATTTGTATTGAACGCTGATTGAACTAAGTATTTTCATTCATTCCTAGCTTTTAATTACTTTCTCGATGAATTCACTATGATTCTCGATAGGGAATGTAGTGAACAGTAACACGAGTGGGGACAATCGGATGTGTTTAGCACGAAATTGCAGAGCATCTCAATGAAATCTGAGAACCATATAGTAAATAATTAGTTTGCAAAATATCAATCCATCGCCTCAAACTTGATTGTTCCTTTGCAAATATCAGTCCATTGTTTCAGATTTTATTGTTCATGCATTTTCATCCCAATTGCGTTCTGTTTCTGTTCTTTCCTTATCGATCTTCTACTGAAATATATTCTGTGCCTGACCACCGTTATATACTACTTATGTGGTAATAAGTAATCCACACCACAGTGACTTTGAATGATTATAGTTTTTATTCTCTTTCACTTAAAGTTTAGTTTCTTTTTTTATACAGTGACATATTGAAAGTGATTTTCTAACTACTGTGCAATTTTAAAGTTGTTCGAAATAAATTAAAATATAGATGAACTTGTTATTTATTCCCTAAAGAGCATAATAAATGAATGGGAATTCAAAATTCAAACTTACATTATACCTAAAGCGGATTCTAACTGTTCTTTTTGGGTTTGACAGTGAACTCTTTGCTTTAGTTAACTAAGAAGAAGAGCTGTAGTTCAACTCAAATATTATCATTACTACTATTTACAATGTAGATGATTGCTATTTATTGATTCTCTAGAACTTTCTGTTCTCAGTTGTTTCAGGTTATAATGTGTACTTTTTCAGAATATCGTAATTGGACAAACTTACGTTTGTGCTGCTGCTGAGCCTTAAATTAGTATGAACATCAGTCTGATGCCTTTTATATTATCACTATACCCTATCTTAAGTTGATCTTGTTATGAATTCAACTTCTATCTTACCTAATTTGTTTAAGCCTTGGTGATGAGACCGCTCACGTCAAGTAACACTAATGACATTCGCTTCACTTGTTGTATCCACTAAGCATGTTAACTCAGATTTATATATATATATAAATATATATATATATATATATATATATATATATATATATATATATATATATATGAATTCCTACCTCCTAGCCCAGCCATCTGATTTACTTTCTATTATGTGGTCCAAAAGATTTTAATCATATGCATACATTGCAAAAACACAATACGCCAACTAGTTCACGCTCTTAACATAACTTGGTCGTTCGTGGTACCAGATTGAGTAACAGCCATTTAGTTAGTTAGTTAATCCCGTCCAACTAAGTACGAACGCTTATCGGCTACTCGAGAAAAGAAATATTTTTAGTAAAGATGTGCAAGACTGGAGCATTGAAGATAGCAAAGGTAATTGGCACGTTAGCAGTTTACTTTGGTACAGTTCATGTAGATTGAGGATTTCGATTCAACCATACTTTACGAAGGAGACGGACACATTACTTGTTTACTTCTGTATAACTGTACTGGGGGCACCCTTATCAGAAAACTTTATAGTAAGCCATGAGCTTTGTGAGCGATAATGTGTACATCAATATGAAATGTGGATAACACCGTAAGTATACATTACATGCATACATATGATACATAAACCACGGCCTATACACTCCATAGTATTGTAGTAAGCCCATTCAACCATTGTATTATTTGTCTACTCACTGTAATTTAGACACTTAATTCCCTATATTAATTTCTTTGTGTGTATGATTGAGCGCGTGTCTGCACATCAATCTTAATCTATTCTCCCATTGGTTATAACACGCAGATAATCAATAATTTATCCACACTTGATTAACACTCATAAACATATATGGATTTTTTTAAACTCACACTCTTTGTTTCACTGTGTGCTTGCTTGCTGTACGCTTGTGGATTTTATTAATCTTTAACAATAAAATATCTCTACAACTGGTGTTCAGGCTTCTGAATAATCTCGAGTAAATCCATAATTCTACCAGGAGATTTAGCCTACCTTAAACACTCAGTTAACGGGATATCATTTATTGGAGTAGATAGAGGGGAAATTTGCATCTACAGTATACACACGGGTGTGGATCTAATTTGCTTTTGTTGCCTCCATGCTAGAGCCCAGTTACGGTAGGAAATGATTAATGTACTTGCTTTCAAGTCACTTGATTAAATTAGTCTGTTTATGATCAACTCTATGCTCATACCACAAATAAGTTGAGTGTCGAATCTTATGCTTTGGTTACGACACAGTTGATGGTCATCGCTCTGGTTTTTACCAAACCAAATGGGGCATCGTAGAGATAATCTGGTCAGGTGAAAAACGAGAAATTTATTCTTTCAAGTTCCGAATATCACATAAGTCTTTACCGCAAGCCCTTCATGTAATCCATGTTTACGACGGAGTGGGGGACTCGTCTGATCTGCACTCAGCCACTAACGTTCATGGACTAAAGTTTCACTTCAGGGGGACCTCGAGGAAGTGTGAGTAGGATTTTATCAAATTGAGTAACAGGGGAATAATTAACTATAGCCTATGATTAACTACCTAGTTGGAAACTTGCAATTAGGGCGATATAAAAGTACCGTAAATCAAATATTTACCACATACATCATAGAAATGTTTATTGTAATATATCCGTAGAATAGTTCTCAAAGTACCGTATGCCACACTTATTCATATGTAACTAATAAGTATGTGATTAAAATTGTATGTATATATCTATGTAATAGTTACTATCGCTTTTATTTAAAGAGTGCTATGGATGAAGTAATTGCAGCTACAGCTTATCTGGAATTGTTTTTACGTCGTTTAACTGAACCTTCAATGATTAAATTATTTCTGAAATTCATTATTACCGAATCACATGATTCTTATCATATACTCACATCGATTATGAATCGTTTAAATGCAAACGCTATGGTAAGTGCTTTTTTTGTTCACATTATGTAATTACACAGATATGTTGTATTTGTTTATGACTGTAACTGAAAAAGTCTTTTATTTTTTATCACAGACTAGTATTAGATAGATGGTTGTTTCGTCCAAGTTTATAACTTCCTATGAGTGCATGCTTCTGCTATCCCTATGCACCAGAGTTTTTAAGTTTATTATTATTATATTATTTCGTCGTTCACATTGCAAAGTGATCTTAGTTATGCAACTATTAAAAACCAGAAATCACTATGACTATTTCGTCCCAACATAATACTCAGGAGTTGTCAGCACTTACTACTACCTCCCCAAGGAGTTCTAGTGCGAAACCGTGACCAATAAAGTCTCAATGTGTGCATTGTGAAGTTAGACACATAGACTAATGGGTGTCAGGATAAGTAACTTAAGAGTTAACCACTCGCAGCGCAACTTAAATAATCTGCGTTTGACCCCCCACAAAGTCGTGATAACTCATCAATTAGAAATTACATGCTAAGAATAAACAGCTGTCTAGTATTTTCTCGTTTCTAATGGTTATCTAACTAAGGTCAGTTCGTGATTTAAAATATAAAATATTTTATTCCCTGAATCAGTAGTTAACCCACACAGTAATGTTATTCAGATACCTGTATTTTTATAGAAGTTATGCCCAAAACTAATTATTCACAGATTATTTTCGTTCTCAATGTAATCGTGTAGTTTCCATTAGTTCTTAGTTGTTGAAAATCAGAAGTCGTATGTTAATTATTTGTGGTAGCGTATTCTTTACAACTTGGCAGGTTAAAATTAATCGTTCTTTAAAAAAATACAAAGTCTTTTTGTGATGGTACTTTATATGGAATTAGAGGAAAATGAAAACATCAGCAAAAGTTAAATTGTATGTAAGAATATTCTACAACAATTAACGAAGTAAACAAAAATGAAAGATCTTTGAATTGTATTATTATTTACTTACCTACACCTGTTACTCCCAATGAAGCATAGGCCGCCGAACAACATTCTCCAACCCACTCTGTCCTGGGCCTTCCTCTCCAGTTCTATCCAATTGTTGTTCATTCTTCTCATGTCTATCTCCATTTCTCGGCGTAATCTGTTCTTTGGTCTTCCTCTCCTCCTTCGGCCTTGAGGATTTCATATGAGGGATTGTCTCGTGACGCAGTTGGGTACTTTCCTCAATGTATGGCCTATCTACTTCCAGCGCTTCTTCCTGATTTCCTCCTCCACTGGAATCTGGTTTGTTCTCTCCAACAGTAGATTGTTGCTGATAAGGAGTATTATTATACGATATAAAATTAAAAAAAGACATTTCATCCTTAAGTTAATTTGTAGTCGAATTCTGTGTTTTGCAATTTATCTAAATCGGATAAATTTTGTTACCAACGGAAACTTATTATTGGATACTAAAAGTTTATTTGTCACCTTGTGCTTTTTCTTTATCTTCAGCAGAAATATTTAAAAAAACATTTCGACTGGTAATTGTAATGTAATGAAATTCTATTTTTTATTTCTCTCAACTACGACGCATTACCATTTCAGTTACAGACATACAATTTTAGTCAGTTTAAAATCATTATCCATGTATAGTGATACAACCAATTGAATAAATCATTGTAAGAGCTTGCTTTAGGGTTGTGATCTAGGAGGTTGTAAATATTTATTTACTGAATTAATCAGTACACTATAAACTATTATCTGTCAAAATGTTTAATTCTCAGAGAACTTGGTAGATTCCCATTGCGGTTAGTTCACGATATGTGACAAATGTTGTCAATAGTTGTTCTTTACGTTTTTATAAAGAGGTAGTAGTTATTTAGTTATTTGAAATACATGGTTTGAGATACTTTATCTGACCTTGTTTGACACTGGTATCCTCTTCGTTGTCTGTGATGTGAAAAAGTTCATGATATCTCAAAATAACCAAAAAGAATGAATCAACAGCCGAACTAACCAGTTAAGACAGACCAAGAATGTAATCAAAGTCGGTTAGCTGCAACGTATGACCAGGCACATATATGAATCGGTCCAAGTTGCCACACCTCTTAAGCACAAGATGAAAACCAAATTCATAGAACTAGTTACTTCAATGATAGTAATACATAAAAGAAAGATTGTGTATAAGGATATAATACAGGAAGAATGAATTAATTCGTATAAATAAAGGTATAAAGCAATTTTCAAAACGAAAACATAACATTTCTGAGGAGAACACAACTAAGTGTATGAAGAACAAAAAGAAAAAAAAACTAAAAGAATAATTAAAGTGATGTACCGATTATTACATGTAAATAAATAATTAATTGACGTTAAATTTTTTATTTATTTATTTATTTATTTGAACACATAAATATTGGTACAAGAGAGCGCCAATATATATGCGCCACACAAAACAATGGGAATTCGAAGAGAAGTAAAAAAAAAAACTAAGGAACGCAAAAGAAAAAGAGAGTAATGACGAAGAGGTACGATCAGAAGAAATCTTTCAGTTAAGAAAGACACAACCACTTTTTATGAAGAAAGTAAAAGAAGGTTACAGCAGTATCGCCACTGGCTTCTATTCTGAGCCATATCTGATAACGTCTCTAGCCACTGTGTAGCACCATCTCTCGGACCCCAGCCAGGGAGTCGTGAAGGACCAACACAAGCCAGTCCTTTGCAGCTTTCTTTCATGCCACGACACCATGTCATGCACTGACCACCTCTCCGCTTTCTCCAACCAGTCCCAGAGTCGGCAAATAATGCACGAAGGAGAATTCTTTGGGACGACATTCGGAGAACATGTCCAAGCCACCGAAGTCGGTGTTTCAAGATGGTGACACCAATTGAGTTATCATCTCTGTGCCCGAACACACGATGCCGAACCTCTGCATTACTGACATGGTGTTGCCACTGAATGTCAGCAATCCTTCGGAGACAGCGATGATCGAACACAGAGAGTCGTCTAACGTCCTCAACTCGGAGAGGCCAGGTTTCACAAGCATAGAGCAAAACTGCTCTCACCGACGCGTTGTAGATCCGGCCTTTTACAGCCAGACTAACATCACGAAGGCACCAAAGGTGGCCCAGATTGGCATAAGCCGCTCTGGCTTTCACTATTCGTGCATTGATCTCATCACTCACACCCCCACCAGCACTTATGCAGCTACCCAGATACACAAACTTCTCAACTACGTCTATCTGCTCACCGTCCAGGGTGAGTACAGGATTAGAATCCTGCCAGTCTTGTAGAAGTACTTTGCACTTCGAAGGTGCAAAGCACATACCATACCTACGGACACTGATTGCCAACTGATTAAGTACGGATTGCATGCCTTGGGAATTATCACACAGTAAGACAATATCATCCGCATACTCAAGGTCGAGAAGCCTCTCTCCAGGCAACAGATCCACACCACCATTACTTACATTCATCAGAGCTGTTTCCAGAATGTCATCGATGGCAAAGTTGAAGAGGAATGGTGAGATTGGGCAACCCTGCCTAACCCCACTACTCGAATAGAACAATGGAGAAAGGTGGTTTTATGCCCTCACTCTGCCTGAAGTGTTTTTATATAGGGCTTTTAGGATGTTAATAAACTTCTCAGGCACACCCTTCTTCAATAGACAATCCCAGAGAACAGTCCTATCCAACGAATCGAAGGCAGCCCTGATGTCAAGAAACACTACGATTGTTGGCCTTTGATAAGTATGGCGGTGTTCTAACATTTGGCGGAGGGTGAAGATATGATCAATACATCCTCGACCAGAACGAAACCCAGCCTGCTCCTCGCCAGTCAATCTTTCTCGGGTTTTGAACAACCTACGAAGTACGACGGAAGCCAATAGCTTGGACGCAATCGGAAGTAGACTTATCCCCCGATAGTTGTTACAGGAACGACGTGAACCGTTTTTAAAGATAGGGACAACTATCGACTCATTCCATGACGTTGGTACACTCTCTAGTTCCCAAACCTTTGTAAACAACGTCGTCAATTCCTTAGTCAAAAAGTCACCACCATCTTTAAAAAGAGCCGGAGGTAAGTCATCTGGGCCAGGTGATTTGTAACGCTTCAAGAGTTGGAGTTCCTTGCGGACTTCCTCCTCATTTGGTGGATCAGTCGTCACCGGCCATGGAGGGCAGGACAGTCTGACCGATGTTGCCGGAGCAGCAGGCCAGTTGAACTGCCCTTCGAAAAATTCTGCCCACCGTCCAAGACGTCGATGGATGTTAGTGATTGGCATCCCATCATCCTCGCAGATTGTTTCACTCACACCAGACTTCTTGCTGCCAGTGGCTCGGATGAGTTGGAAGAGCTTCCGGTAGTTACCAGATGCAGCTGCTGCTTCCAGCTCATTAGCACGCATCGACCACCAGGCTTCTCGGTCCTTACGCAAGCTTTGCCCGATTTCCTTACGTAAAATCCTTCGTTTATGGTCAAACTCACGGTTACCCGGAGTAGACCGACGGGCTTCAATGAGTTGTAAGGAACCAGAAGAAACCCAGTGCTTAAAAGCGGGACGTTTCGCAAACCCACAACTGACTGTTCCCGCCATTTTCATGGCGTCACGCAATTGCAACCAATGCTCATCTATACTTTTCGGTGGAGTGGTAGCTAGCCTAGAGGCTAGCTCGGTTCGATACTTACTTGCAACAGAAGTTGCAACCAGCTTGCTAACATCAATCCGTTGATGGCGTTCACTTCGTTGTCCACTGAAAAGTAAGGCAAGATTGGCGCAGACCAAGGCATGGTCAGAGTCCAGATAGGTACTCCAAAAGGAGCGGCAGTCTTGTACACAACCACGCCAGCGGTAGCTGATCGCGATGTGATCAATCTGAGTCCAGGCTTGAGATGCAGAGGGAGGACGCCAGGTGGCACATCGGCGATGACTGTGCCGAAAGTTAGTGCTAGCCAGAAACAGGTTGTGGTCTGTGCAAAGTTGCAGTAGACGGTCCCCGTTATCTGACCTGCGACCAACGAGTCCCCATCGGCCACCTAAACGACTCTCTTCTGTGCCTAGACGCCCGACCTGAACATTCAAGTCTCCGGCTAGTACTACAATATCTGTCGAACGCACTTTCTGGAGAAGAACTGATAACTGGTGGTAAAACTCATCCTTGATTGCATCCGGGCTGCAATCTGTCGGGGCATAGGCGGAGATGACGAAAAGACATCGTTTCTCACGCCGATTTCTTCTCACTTTGATGGAACTTTCTAATCTAACAGCACATAACCGACTGTTAATGGGGATCCAATCGACTAGTGCTGCCTCAGCTCTAGCGCTTAGTGCGACACCAACGCCAGCAAGACCAGACGAAGATGCCACAGGGTCCCCGGATAAGCGCACGTAAAAGAAGCTTTTCGAGGCGACAGATGGAGATCGAATTTGTAGTACTTCGCCAGAGTCTTGAATACGGGTCTCGGATAGACAACACACGTCGATATTAAGACTTTCCAAAGACATAGCCAGCCCTATCTGTTGTCCAACCTGCATAAATGTGCGAACGTTGAAGGCAGCCAGTTTGAATGGTGCACGTGGTTTCAGAAAATCTGCTTCAGTCCTCGTATTCGGTGGTAACATACAATTTTCAACCGGACAGTGACTCGAGAACGTTTAGATACAGTCGGATTTCCACCAAAGACGAGCCGCTGTATAAGTATAAAAGAAGGTGAATAATGTGGAAAATAATAATAATAATGATAATAATAACAATAATGACAATAATAGTAGTAATAATAATATTAGTATTAATAATGACAATAATTGTAGTGATCATAATTTGAATCAATTGATTGTTTTTCAAAGCGACAAAAGTAATTTCCATAGACATAAAGAGTTCATCATTTGTGTGTGGGCTGTGATACTGCCCGGGTGCCCAAACCGAAGCAGGTGGTTATCTTAGGGGGCCACTCCCCGAGCCTTTGACCTAAAGGTCTAACCCACAAGGCAGTGGAGCATCGTAAGGAGATGCAATCCCATGGTAGCCGGTGACCAACGATTGGTTCATACGCCATTTGTTCCCGCAGGATACTGGAGCCCATGTGCACCATTGATTTGGAATCCGGTTAAAGCGCCGGACATTCGCTTTTCGTCCTCTCATTTTCGTAAACAACACCCCCGCCACGAGAAGGCAATGAGTAGGACTTCCCTGGCAGAGGCTGTATACGCGTGGCCGTGTGAGAGTATTTCGAGAGGGAGAGCGGACTCTCCCCACTCTCGGCCGTACCAGGGCATTCAGGGGGCAGACGTTAAATTCTATTTGTGCATATGAGTATTTGTCTAACTCTGGTGTTATTGAGTTGCTATTGATCAGTTCAACCATTCAATTCCGTCATCTTTCCAAACTTTGAATTCTTTCCACGTTTGCTTCGTCAAGATGATCTGTAGTCAATCCGGTTCTGTTATCACGCACAGCTTCATCTAATTAGGCTATGAGTTACATTTCTTGTGCTGTAAGAGTTATTGACTCCTTGGCTACTCAAGTACTGTTAACAAAGAGAACTGC